AGCAGCACCAGGTGGTACCGGCTCCCCGGTCTTGGGGACCTACCTTCGCTTGCTCGTGAGGCAACACTCCTGATGTCCAAGGAGCTTTTCCTCTTGTCTTTATGTTTACCTGATTGATTATCTGTGGGAACGAGATAAATCACCTCATCAAGGGGTGAAAAACGACCAGTTACCGTTAGAAAAACGACCAATCTAAAATTTTTAAAACAAAATTTAAGAATTTGGACACTAAGTTGCAACAAAAATCTGCAGAGAGCAGACGACGAAAAGGAGGCATGGGGCTCTCACAAAGCCCCACGTGTACAGTCAGACGAGTGCTTCCCAGGCTCCAGGTCCCGTAATGAGGGTCCCGTCTCGATGGGAAGGAGCGACGAGTAGATGTGAGCTCAGCACTCCTCACGCTGCTGCGGCTGAGGAAAGTGGGAGCCATTTTTGAGCCCCACACACGTTTGCCCCAAAGGGGAGAAACCCTTTATGCAATTGCTTCTGTAACACCAGGTCTGCCATTTGGGGAGGAGCGCGCCTCTCCCCGGGGCACTGGGTTGGCTCCATGTCATTTCTTCCATCTCCGACCCCCTTTCTGTGAGGCACCACGAGTGGGCTGCCTGGCCTCTCCCCCGACCCCACACCCGCCTTCCTGCCCCTCCTTGTGCACCTGCTGGCGCCGTGGGTGGCTCTGAGCCTCCCCGGCCCTCCCTCCCCACAGGCGAGGAGCCTGGGGGCTGCGTGTGGGAGGGTTCCTGCTGCAGCGAGCACCTCCTCTGCTCGGCCACGGCGTCACCGCTGGCCGCAGCCGCACCCAACCCTCTGGATTATAACGGCAGCTCCCTTCACAGTCCCGTGGCCCCTGCCTCGCCCGTTTCCACCCCCTCTCTACAGGCAGCCCAGCAATCCTTCTAAAATAACCCGACCAACACCTCTCAACGGCTCGGCTCACCATGGTTTTCAGGATAAGATTTAAGCTCCCGTGTGGTACCCAGGGCCCTGTGATCCCTGGACCCCTCTCCACCATCATGGCCTCTATGATGTGCTCGTCTCCCCCCACCCTCTATGTCTTGGCACAGACGGCTTTCCTCCAGGGGAGCGTGCCTCTCCCAGGCCCTTTGGGACACCCTCCCCTAATGTCCCCCCCCCCCCCCCCCCCCCCACCCCCCGCACCCC